CGTTTGCGACGACTGAGCACTCCGTTTGTTGAGCGCTTTTGAACAACAATTTTATTCACAGAGTTTGAGGCGATGTCTTCGTGTTGGAATAGTATGGGAACCGATGTACTGAGGGTTGACATCAGGGATACCTCCTCCTCCTGAAGAACCGGCGTCGGCTGACAAACTCTGGCAGTTTTTGTTGCGAAGTCCGGCCAATCCGATGGTCGCATTCTCTGCACACTTCAACACTGCGATCATGTGTTGAATAATACAACATCTTCGACATCCAATTCCCAAATACCTAATTGCAAGTATTGTCAAGGTAAAGGTATTTTAGCTAAGCATTGGCACAGCGTGTGCCCAAACCGCCCACTAGTGTCCACACAAACGGCATCACAAGCAATTACCGCCGCCACTGATGGCAAACATCCAACTGATTCCACACCGAAGCGAAACTTTATGAACCGAAATCACGTTGTCTTACCGGAGCTATCGTTGATAACAATTCCTGTACTCATCAACGGCCGTCACAAGACGACAGCCATAGTTGATAGTGGATCTGATGTCAACATAATATCTGGTGAATACGTTCGCTCTCTTCGGCTAAAACCAACTCAACGCCCCGAAGGAAAGATATTCTTCGCCAGTGGATCAGTCACCGTCTCGAACGAAGTGTCATTTGATTTGACAATCGATGGCATTACAAACAACATCACCGCTACTATACTCGAAGGTTTTGATTACATACTAACGCTTAGTGTCAAAACCTGTGGTCAGTACCGCATTGCCGTCGACTTCGCAACAAAAACTGCCAGAGTTTGTCAGCCGACGCCGGTTCTTCAGGAGGAGGAGGTATCCCTGATGTCAACCCTCAGTACATCGGTTCCCATACTATTCCAACACGAAGACATCGCCTCAAACTCTGTGAATAAAATTGTTGTTCAAAAGCGCTCAACAAACGGAGTGCTCAGTCGTCGCAAACGTCGAGTTCGCAAAAAGCCTTCGACCCGAATGGCCGAAGCCATCGCTCAACCGATTGACACAATAGATAATGTTGACAAACACTCGGAATCACCGCCGCCTTCAAACCCTTCGAACGCAAACAAATCGAGAATTTGTTTCAAAAAACTCATCAAAACATTACTAATGATTTTTGTATGTTTTTCTCTTCACTCCTTCGCCACACCGGTCTTCCAAAACGCTAATTGCATCCAAAGTTTGGTCAATAATCAGTTGGGATATGACCCCTACCTGTCCTCAGCTACTGATGGTTACACACCGTTGTACACAAGTCTTCACGTGTCCATCAATGGTAGCAATCAGGATCAGGCCTTCGCTACACACAT